GGCTAATTATGTATCGCAGGAAACAAAGAAAATCACTATTGATGATAGGTATATTCCAACAATATCACAGGTGGGTCTACAGATGACTATTTTATTATAGACTTATCCCACCATAACTTTTTTAAAAAATCATTTTACTGGGGGCTCATACAATTCTTATCACAATTCATACATACACACATTGTGTCGAGCACATTTGTACATTTGTTGCCATCATGATTCTCAAAACATTTGCCTTCTACTTGAGCCCTTGGTATCAGCTCCTTATTTTCCCCTCCTTCCCTGCTCCCCCCTCCCTCATGAACCCTTGAATTATTATTTTGTCATTATTTTGTCATATCTTACACTGCCCGACAGCTAGCTCCCTTCACCCACATTTCTGCTGTCCATCCTCCAGGGCGGAGGTTATATGTAGATCCTTGTAATAAGTTCCCCCTTTCTACCCCACTCTCCCTGTATTGCCACTCACACCACTGGTCCTGAAGGGATTATCCGTCCTGGATTCCCTATGTTTCCAGTTCCTATCTGTACCAGTGTACATCCTCTGGTCTAGCCAGATTTGTAAGGTAGAGTTGGGATCATGATAGTGTGATAGTGGGGCGGGGGAGGAAGCATTTAGGAACTAGAGGAAAGTTGTATGTTTCCTCATTGCTACCCTGCACCCTGACTGGCTCATTGCCACCCTATGACCCTTCCGTAAGGGGGTGTCCAGTTGCCTAAAGATGGGCTTTGAGTCTCCACTCTGCACTCACCCTCATTTACAATGATACGATTTTTGTTCTGATGGTGCCTGATACTTGATCCCTTCGACACCTCGTGGTCACACAGGCTGGTGTGCTTCTTCCATGTGAGCTTTAATGCTTCTGAGCTAGATGGCTCCTTGTTTACCTGCAAGTCTTTAAGACCCCAGACTATATCTTTTGATAGCCGGGCACTTTCTTCACTACATTTGCTTACGCACACATTTGTCTTCAGCAATCATGTCTGGAAGGTGTGCATCATGGAATGCCAATTTAATAGAACAAAGTATTCTTGCATTGAGTTAAGTACTTGAGTGGAGGTTCAATGTCCATCTGCTGCCTTAATATTAAACCTATAAATATATGCACATAGATCTATTTCCCCACCATCCTATATAAATATATTTACATATGTGCATGCCTGTATTTAGGCCTCTATAAATACCCTTTGCATCCTCGTTATTTCCTCTATTTCCTTTGACTTTCCTCTTGTCCCATTATCATGCTCAGCCTTCATTTGGGTTTCAGTAATTTCTCTTGGTTACATTGCCCTTGCTGAATCCCTACCAGGCCTCTCACACCCTCCTTGCCACTAATTTGGGATCACTTGTTGCTCCCTTGTCCCTGGGTTGGTCAGCACCACCTCCTTTCCCCCTGCCTGCCCCTCTCCCATGTCCCCCCGGAACCATCGGTCCCATTGTTTTCTCCTCCAGACTGTTCATCCAGCCTATCTTATCTAGATAGACCTGCAGAGATAATATGCACCAAAAAACAAGGCATAGCAAGACAAAGCAACAAAAGAGAACATAACAATGACAACAAAAAAGAAAACCAGTGACGCAGAAAAGAATAAATAAATTTTTTAAAAAAAAAAGAAAAAAATTTTAAATTTTAAAAAAGAAAGAAAAACCTATAAATAGATCAGGGTCTGATTTTTGTCCTTTAGGCGTGTCCTCCAGTCAGGTCCGACGGGGTGCCATGCTCTGGCCCCAAGTCTATCCTTTGCACTCCCTTGGAGGATGCCTGCTCTGCTCCCCCCCTTGGTCAGACGGGGCCAATCACGACACAGTCTCCAGTGGTTTCTGGTGCATGGTCCCCCGTAGGACCATGGGTCAGCAAGGGACGTTGTGTCTCATAGTGGGATCAGCCATATGGTCCACTCCGTGTATTGGCTGTCCAGTGCTGGGACATTGTCCCCCAGGATATCCTGGTGAGCCAGGATGTGCTCCACTCTCTCTTCCTCCCCCTTCATTTGCTCCCGTGTGCTCTGATCAGACATGTCCCTCTCCTCTAGTTGCAGCTTCAGTGCCATCCTCTACAGTAAATTATTCTGGGGGGAGGGGCAGTTGTCCACATAGCTGACATTGGGGCTGGGCCCTCAGGCCCCTCCACTGACTCCCCTCTCCACAGCATCTTGCTGCATTCACTTCCCAGAACACTGGATTTCAGTCTGGTCCTTCTTTCCCGGTGGAGACACAAACAATACCCTCCCCTTGGGTGGTTCAGTACCCTACCCCCCGCTCCAACCCCCCACCCCCCGCCACACATCTCTCTCTCTTTTTTTTTTTCCTTTCCTGCCTTCCCCTTGTTTTCAGTTGGCTACCATATGTACCCCTGGGTTTGGTCTGGCCCTTGCCATACTACCTGAACCTCACCCCTGGAGTGTTTGTATACAGTAGCTTTTTCCCTGTGCCCCTTTTACATTTTTCTTTTCTTTTTATAAACTTACCTTAGCAGACTCATGTTGTCCTTCTCTTTTTGTGTTTGATTTACTTAGCATAATTTCCTTCAGTTCTTCCCATGTGGCGATATGCTTCATGCGTTCAGCACTGCTTTTTAGCGATGCATAGTACTCCATTGTATATATGTACCACAGTTTTTTAATCCATTCACCTGTTGATGGAAATTTGGGTTGTTTCCAACTCCTTGCGATTGTGAACTGTGCCGCAATGAACATTGGAGCACAGATGTCTGGCCATGGTTTGTTTCTTGCCTCTTCTGGGTATATGCCCAGTAGGGGGATTGCTGGGTCATATGGTAATTCAATTTCCATCTGTTTTAGAAATAGCCAAATCAATTTCCATGACTGCACATACCTACAGGTCCACCCGCAGTGGATGAGAGTTCCTATCACACCACAGCCCCTCCAACACTTGTTGCTTTCTGATTTTTTGAATTGGGCTCTTTTTGAGGGTGTGAGGTGGTATCTGATAGTTGTTTTAATTTGCATTTCTCGTATGGCTAATGATTAGGAACATTTTCTCATATGTTTATTAACCATTCAGATTTCAGACTCTGTGAAACTTCTGTTCAGGTCCTTTGCCCACCTCCTCAGTGGGCAGTTAGTTTTTCTTGTTGGAAGCTAGCAGAGAATTGTAGATTTTAGTAACGAGGCCTTTGTCTGATGTGTCAGTGCTAAAGATGGCTTCCTTCAGCTTCGTGAGGGGGAGAAAGACCAGAGGGACTTGGGTGGCAGCTGGAGAGGTGTTGCTGTGGAGCAATGGCCGTATCAATGATGTTTCCTGACCTTGGCTGTGGTGACCTATTAACTCCTCTATTACATCCCTTAATTGTGAGGCTTGTCTGTGAGTGCTGTGTGGCCATGATCAGCATCAACTACCAAAGTCAGACATACCTCCACTCCCCAACCTTTCTACCGCTCCTAACACCAAGCATACCTCCCACAGCAATCTCTGCTTCTCTCGTGGGTTTATCAAAACAGTGTGACGATGTGGTCCAACACAACCTGAGCCAACATGTGGTCTGTTCATGGGGTCAAGGGTCAACTCTACTCATCTTCAAAAGGGTGAAAAGGATGGATCTGGAACTGAGGGAGCGCCTACTCTGCGCATTCTTGGTGCTAAGAAAGTTCTTTGGCTTATTTAAACTAATCAAAATGAGGAAAAATGGTGTCTGGGTAGGCTCCTCTGAGCACTTGGTCGAGAGGCTGGTAAATTCCAGGGATGGCCTTCAACGAACCCACTGCCATCAAATTGATTCTGACTCATTGGGACCCCGTGCATTACAGAGCAGAATTTACCCACCGGGTTTTCTTGGCCAGATATGTATGAAAGACATTGTGTCTGTTCTTTCTCCAGTGAAATCGCTGAGTAGATTTGAACTGCCCACTTTTAGGCTAGCAGCCAGTTGCACACCGGGCGGGTCCTGTCAGGGGGTAATCCTTTAAACAATTGTATGCAATGAGATACATGATCAGCTTCCGCTAGATTCTTGAGATAATTTGACTAATAAGGAAGAAAACGTAGCTATCAGAATTATCCATCCATCTGTGTTTGGGGCTGGTTGGTTAGGTGGTAGACTCCTGGGAGCAGGGGTATTTGAAGCAGCACAAGAAAGAGGCAAGGATTTGCTGGGTCACTCAGAAACCAGAGTGGTTTTTTTTATACCAGAAGGGCACATAAAGCCCCATTTGTGTCCTGAGGAATCATTATTTCAAACTTCTCAGCTTGCTTCCAACACCATGAGACCAGAATTACGTTTGTTGAAATATTAGGCAGTAAGGCAGCATGTAAAACTGCATTGTCTCCCTAGGGTGCCCAAATTGCCTTACGCACCATCACTTTCATCACCCAGAAGGGAGCAGGGGAGTCCAGGGAGCACTGTCCCAGAGTGTTCAGAATGGGACTGTGGGATCCAGTGGCTTTCAAAATAAAACATTTCTGGCTGATAGGGTTTGAAGATTGTGGTGGCTTTGGGTTAGCTAAATTTGTCTAAGCTTGTGTGTCATCTTATTCCAGAACCAGGTTGTAGGTATATCCTCTTTATCAGGACCCGAGATTCTGATTAAAGAGGGCAGAAATAGTCATGGCCAAACCATAAGACTCACATGTGTAACTTCTGCTTGGACATGACAAAGCATCATGTCTGCACACATTTTTTTTGGAGCAAAGCATGTTATGGGACCAAGCCCTATGTCAAAGAAGGGGGATGGACACCCTCCCACAGGATGCATGGCAGGACACATCACCATGTGCAGGCTTTGTAGACTCACTGAAGGAAGGCAAGGCTACTGTGAGTAATAAGTCAGTCTATTGCAGGGGTTTTGTGGGCTGAAGGATTTCTGCACCAAGTAGGTGACTGAACCAAGCAATTCCTACCATGCCCTCCTTTCCAGACTCTAGAGTTATTTCCAAAGTGGTCCCTGTGTCTCTGTCCTCGCTCCCACCACAGCCTGTGCCCATGGGCATATGGCAGGTGCTCACCAAGGTTCCACTCACTGTCTGTTCTCCCTCTGCGCAGGTGGGCAGCAGGGCCATGGAGCCCTTGCTCGGCGACCTGTGAAAAAGGCATTCAGCACCGGAAGGTGACCTGTATGTACCAGCTGCAGAATGGCACCCACATCACCACACGGCCCCTCTACTGCTCAGGCCCTCAGCCAACACCTTTACAGAGCTGTGAAGGCCAGGACTGCCTATCCATCTGGGAGGCATCAGAGTGGTCACAGGTGGGTGCCTGGGCTTCCTGCAGGTGGGGGAAAATCGAGAGGACCTCAGGGTCCAGTCCACAGAGACCTCATTGCATAACCTTGCCACCGATGGTGCTTGTGAGTTGCCAACCTGTTCTGTTGGATCATAGTTCTTGCCATCCCAAATTACTGCAAATTTTCCTTGTAGACCATGCATGCTTCTGTTCCACCTTAGATAACAACACACTCACCCTTGTTTTAACTATGCTACTACCACACTGCAAATTACTATTTGAACCAATTTCTTATGAAAATTCGTGTGTGTGTGTCCGTCCCTGGCTGGCACACATAGTTAAGTACTCAACTGCTAATCAAAACGTTGATGGATACCCTCAAAAGGATTGTCCTAAGAAATCCTTCTAACCTGTAACTGAAGCTATTCCCAGAGACCACCTTTCAGCGAGATAATAGACAGAACTATAATATAACAACGCTCCAAAAGAATGCATTCCTTATAAGAGACAAAGAGGGAAACATCTTCCCCAAGGCAAGGAGGAGAAAGTGGCAAAGGGCAGGAAAGTGGGTAAATGAACATAGAGAACCCAAGGTGCTGACATGTTTCAGGGATCACAACCAACCTCACAAATAATTTGTTCATGAACTAGTCTTATTTAATTAATTAGAATTAATACATGCATTGAATCGTACTTTAATTCAATCACATCCATCAGAATTATACATTGGCTACCAAAATCAGTTTACAAACATTCTTTTTCTATATGGACCCCTTGATGTTCATCACCCCTTCACCTGGCCACCAATTCTGTGTCCCCTCCCCCCAAAGCCCTATTCCACTTGCTAACTCGATAGGTTCATCAGTCTTGGTTTTTAGGCACCAAAAAAAAAAAAAAATGTAAAAACATACTGCAACTTCAAGAGGGGGACCTCCAACGACATTACACTCCTGAGATACCCCCAATATGTACAATCAAAAACCAAAAAAAAAAAAAAAATACAACCCCAATACATCAGATTTTGGAAACCAGATCAGGTCCAGCCTGCATCCTAGCGAGGATCTGCTGGCAAGTTTTAACTGTTGTTTATGAACTATCGTGAATGGAAAACTACCTTTTCTATGTAAGGTTTCACTTAAAGCAAAATAAAACGTTCAAAAAAAGAGAGATTTAAAGAGATTTTTAAATGCTCAATAGAAAAACAAGGAATGAAGTACTTATACTTACTTTCTTTAATTATTTTTTTTAAAAAGGGCATTTGAGCTACCAAGAGGCACCTCAGTAGAAAGTTCTGGTGATCTGCTTTGAAAAGATCACAGCCCTGACAACCTTACATAGCACAATTCTACTCGGTGAACATGGGGGGCCATGAGTCAGAATCAACTTGCTAGCAACAGGCTTGTCCAGTCAGGATGGGAGGAGGCTCATTAACAAGCTACAATATGTAGAAGGCACAATCTTGGTTGTTGAAAGGGAAAAGAATTTGAGGTACTTGCTGATGTAAATCAAAGAATAAAGTGATTCTCAGTGAAGAAGGTGAATTTCAGTGTTCATAAAGAATATTGAAAGTACCACGGGTTGTCAGAAGAACAAATAATTCTGTCTTGAAGTACAGTCAGAATATTCCCAGGAGCAAGAATGGCAAGAGTGTGCTCACATTCTTTGGACATACTACCGTAGGAGCCAGTGCCTGCTGTAGGACATTGTGCCTGTTACAGGTGGGGGCTCGGTATGAAGAAGACCCTCCATGAAATGGGCTGACACGGTGGCTGCAACCACAACAAGAGTCGACTTTCCCCTCTGGTGTATTTGCATTCTGATGTGATCTGTTTGGAAAGATCATGTAAAGACTGGCCTTGAACTCCATGGCAGGCCTTGCAGAGCTGACTCAAGAACAATGCAGGGGTTGGGGCACGAACCCTCCATCCCCCTGAAGTCAACTTAACTATTGACCTAAAGCCTGCAGATAACATAAACAGTTGATTAACACATATGTTGTACGTTATATGTATAAGGAGCCTTCAAAAAACTGCACAGAAAATGTACATTATGAAAAAGCTATGCGTAGATTTCCCCAAAATTGCACAGAAATAAATTCACAATACTTCTTAAGATTTGTCTGAACAAGAGGTAGTTAGAGGCACTAAGAAAGAACAAATATTCGGTTGAAAAGAGCTCCTACCTGAACAACAGGAATTCTGCTAAAACTGAAAAGGATAAGCATCAAATTTATGGAGAGGCTGGAGAGGAGAATGACGGAAGCATTGAATGACGTAAAAACTGTAAGGTAGAATTGGGATCATGACAGTGGAGGGGAGGAAGCATTTAAAAATTAGAGGAAAGTTGTATTGTTGCTACACTGCACCCTGACTGGCTTGTCTCCTCCCCGCTACCCTTCTGTAAGGGAATGTCCCGTTACCTACAGATGGGCTTTGAGTCCCCAATCTGCACTCCCCCTCATTAACAATGATATGATTTTTTTTCTTTGATTCCTTTGATTCCTGATATCTGGTCCCATCGACACCTCATGATCACACAGGCTGGTGTGCTTCGTCCATGTGGGCTTTGTTGCTTCTGAGTTAGATGGCCGCTTGTTTACCTTCAAGCCTTTAAGACCCACACTGGTACAGATAGGAACCGGAAACACAGGGAATCCAGGACAGATGATCCCTTCAGGACCAGTGGTGAGAGTGGCGATACCAGAGGGTGGAGGGAAGGTGGAGTAGAAAGGGGGAACTGATCATAAGGATCTACATATAACCTCCTCCCTGGGGGACAGACAATAGAAAAATGGGTGAAGGGAGGGAGACACCGGACAGTGTAAGACATGACAAAATAATAATAATTTGGGTTGCTTCCAACTCCTTGAATTGTGAACTGTGCCGCAATGAACATTGGTGCACAGATGTCTGGTTGTGGTTTGTTTCTTGCCTCTTCTGGGTATATGCCCAGTAGGGGGATTGCTGGGTCATATGGTAACTCAATTTCCATTTGTTTGAGAAATCGCCAAATTGATTTTCATAGTGGCTGTACATACCTACAGGTCCACCAGCAGTGGATAAGAGTTCCTGTCTCACCACAGCCCCTCCAACACTTGTTGCTTTCTGATTTTTTTGAATTGGGCTATCTTTGAGGGTGTTAGGTGGTATCTCGTTGTCGTTTTAATTTGCATTTCTCTTATGACTAACGATCGGGAACATTTTCTCATATGGTTATTGGCCATTCGGATTTCAGACTCTGTGAAACTTCTGTTCAGGTCTTTTTCCCACCTCCTCAGTGGGCAGTTAGTTTTTCTCTTATTGTGAGCTTGCAAAGTATTGTAGATTTTAGTAATAAGGCCTTTGTCTGATGTGTCATTGCTAAAGATGTTTTCCCAGTCCGTGGACTCTCTTATTACTCTCTTGGTGAATTCTTTCAATGTACACAGGTGTCTTATCTTCAGTATGTCCCACTTGTCTATTTGTGACTCCTCTGTGTTTATAACCTTTCCTATTTCTGGTACCCTATGTATTCCCTGTGCCAAGATTCTCAGGTTTGTCCCAATTCCCTCATTAACAGAGAAGAGGGTGGCGGGAGACGTTTGACAGTGTAACTTATGACAAAACTATAATAGTTATGAATTATGAAGGGTTCATGAGGGAGGTGGGAGTGGGGAGGGAGGGGAAAATGAACAACTGATATTAAGGGCTAAAGTAGAAGGCAAATGTTTTGAGAATGATGAGAGCGACAAATGTACAAATGTGCTTGACACAATGGATGTATGCATGGATTGTGATAAGAATTGTACGAGCCCCCAATAAAATGATTCTGAAAAAAATTGTGAGGACAATGCCCCAAAGAAATCAGCAGTTTCCAAATAAATGTATAACTCATTTTAAGAAGGGGAAATACAATAATGAAGATGAAGCTAAAACATCATTTTGTAAGGAAGCAGTCCTTGTGCCCTAGATGTAGAAAACCAATGATCAACAGCAGAAACAATAGCCAGCAGCATAGATATCTCAATAGCTTACACAATTCTAACTGAAAAATTAAATTTGAGCAGATTTTCCACTCAATGTGTGCCAACATTGTTGGGCCCAGATCAGCTACAGATAAGAGCAGAGCTTTTGATGGAAATTTTCAGTGAGTGGGCTTAAGAACCTGAAGCATTTCTTCAAAGAAGTGTTAATGGTGTAATACAACTCTCTGAATTATACAATCCTGAAGATAAGACACAATCAAAACAATGACTCCCAAGAGGTGGACGTTGTCCAGTCAACGCAAAAATAGACCATTCCAGAGCAAAGGCCATGGCCACCCTTTTTGGAATGTTCAGGGCATTAGGCTTGTTGACTTTCTGGAGGGTCCAGATGATACCTGCTTATTCTGAGAGTGTTTTGAGAAAATGAATCAAAATTTTAGTCAAAAAATGTCCAGGAAAGATTCACCAGAGACTATTTCCCCACCAAGACAATGCTTCCACCCCTTCTTCCCATCAAACAGGGCAACTGCACAAGAGTTCCGATTGGAAATTGTTGTCAGACTTCCACCTGACAGTTGCAAGTTGGGTCCTTCTGACTGCTTTTTGTTTTCTAATCTTTAAAAGTCTTTAAGGGCACTCATGTGTCTTCAGTTAATAATGTAAAAGACGGCTAAATTCAGGACCTTCTGTTCTGTGGGGAGGACTAAATGGCGGGTATCATTTTTTACAACTGTGCCTTGAGCTTGATGAAGTTATGTTGAGAAATAAAGTTTATATTTTTTTATTTTTAACTTTTATTTCCATACTTCACAAAAAATTTTAAGTTCCTTTGTATTATGTACTGCACCCACATAAAGCTGCATTTTCAATAGGAAATAAAGTATTTGGCAAAAGTGCCACATTTTAGTGCCTGCTACCATTGCTGCAGCAATAACTTCACGAAGGTCTTTTTTTTTTTTACAATGGTTGTTTTGTGGATTCATTTATCTTGAAGTAACAGGCGGCCACAACTACAGGCTGCAATCTATAGTACATGTCAAGCAATTAAACCTTTTCTTGTC